TGACCGCCACTGGTATGTATGTATGTATGTATGTATGTATGTGCGTATGTTCCGAATAGGAAAATTCATTTCTGAACCGATCCGGACCAAACTTGGCACACATACACTTCGGGCCCCGGCGGGTGTCATAGGCTACTTTTCGTCATCGATTTCATCAATTTTTGTCTATTATTTTGCAGAGTTCACTACGGGGCTGGGAGTTGGCACAGGGGATAATCGAGCATGCTGATTACGAATACAATATTAGATTTTAAAATCGTCCATTACTTTTATCGATTTTATCGATTTTTGCAACGTTTGAGCTATGGGGTCGGGAGTCGACACAGGGGGGAGGGTAAGTGGGCACGCTGATTTCAACAATAGGGGGATAGGAAATTGGCATGTAGGACTGGGAAGGAAAGACTGCACAGGGATAGGAATGGGATCTTTATTATTTTGACAGGGCCGGGCGAAGCCGGGTATGCCAGCTAGTAGTACTATAATATTCTATGCATTTTTGGTTCTAACATTTGTTCTTAGAAAGCACTGTCTTCCAAGTATCATTAAGCTATCGATATCTCACAAGAAATCAATTTATTGGAGCTACTCTCATTTTTTCCACGGAAAAGTTACATGGCGCTTACCCCTCGATTCAACATGGCGGCTGGAGGCCAGGACTTCGTGACCTAATCAAGGCTAGGTAAAGATCAGAGAGCACGCGCGCGGGAGAGACGCAGACTGCGTTGCGGACGAGAGAGGCCTTAATTAGTCAGAAAGCCCCGCCTCTCAGCCGCCAAGCCTGTTGAGCTTACATTCTACGTTGATACTCTTTGTTATACTTATGAGCATCCCATTACTATAGGCAATCAAAGTTCTACACTCTGTATTACATCTACGTGCTGATCGCACAAGAACTATTAGGTCGTTTCATAAGTTCGTCGACTTTTTATTTTTGTCGCCGTTTTGCGATGAAGCGGTTGGTTTACGGCAAAGTACCTATACTATGAAAAGAGAAAATCTTGCCTTACAAGAACTGTTGTTCGTTTTTGGAGCAAACTTGAATCCCCTTTTTTTACGACTTATCGAAGCAAAAATTTTTCAGAGGCAAAAATTCGCGATTGCGGCAACTGCAACTTTCGATCCGTATACAGAGCCACAGGTGGGAATTTTTCGTCTGAAGTTGTTATGAGCGATGAGAAACAACTGTTTGCGGTACTACGGTGCATATAAAAGTAGTCTCCATATCCAAAGAGAGGCTATAAAGAAAGATTGAGCGCACGTTTACCATGTGTGTAGATGTTTTGAGTTTGGCACAATTTTAAGAAGTTCCCACGTCAAAAATTTTTTTGAGAAAGCGTAAAATGTTGGTCAGAGCTTGTACTTATACATCTACACCATTTAGAAGAACGTATCCATTCCTCAAGTTCCGATAGGAGGACCGACACATTGTGTCGCTGAACAACGCGCCAAACTCAAGCGGCAGCAGTCAAAGACAACAACCATTGGGACCTTGTTCAAACGGTTCTATGCATATTGGCATGCTGCAAATTTGTCAGTGTTTCAATCTTGCTTGCTACTATCCATCCCGCCTACCTATGACAGAAACATCTTGCGGAATACGGACCAAATGCGGAAACTGCAGTTGCCGCAATCGCCAATTTTTGCCCCTCAAAAAATTTTGCTTTGATAATTCGTAAAAGAAGGGGATTCAAGTTTGCTCCAAAAACGAACAACAGTTCTTGTAGGGCAAGATTTTCTCTTTTCATTGGTATAGGCACTTTGCCGTAAACCAACCGCTTCATCGAAAAACGGCGACAAAAACAAAAAGTCGACGAACTTATGAAACGACCTAATACTTCGGCACAGCACATATGACTATAATAAATTTTATTGCTTGTTTTTCATACAAATAATGAAGCTACTATTGTAAATACCTCATTTTTTCTACTGGAGCGTGATCATTATAAAGATTCTTCTTTCGAATGGCCTAATCAAATTGCAGTGATTTTCAAAGGGGGGGGGTTCACTTTAAAGGATCAAATTCTACATTTCTGAGTATCCTTTTTTCAATGAATAATCAAAAACCTATTGATCACGTATCTTTGCCGAAGTTCACTTCTCTATGAGTAATGCCTTACTTTCTTTCTTTTCATCCAAGACACTGTTATTTTTTAAATGAGAATCAGTGATATGAATCAGTGGAGCGAGTGACCTTTATCAAATGCAATGTTTTTGGCGCCTAAGTAACTGAACCTTTATCAGGTTATTTTACATTATACTAGCTGGCTTACCCGGCTCCGCCGTATGTTCCGAATAGAAAATTCCATTTCTTAACCGATCCGGACCAAACTTGGCACACATACACATCGGGTCCCGGCGGGTGTCATAGGCTACTTTTCGTTATCGATCGATGTCGATTTTAGGTCCGGATCGGTTCAGAAATGGAATTTTCTATTCGGAACATACGTACACACAGACATACAGACAGAAAGACAGACAGACAGACAGACAAACAGACATTCAGCTTTATATATAAGATTGCAAGTTACCTGGAACTTGCTTGTTCTTTCAATACCGTAAAAGCAGCATGATTATATGAGAAATCTTTATTATATAGTGCAATCTTGACCAATAAGCTCAGACAATCGATCATTAGCTGATTGTTTCCTAAATTGCTAAATTTGCAAGTTTTCATAGTCAAAGTTCGTGAAGGCACATGCTTCAACATCTCCCATGAACAAAGAGCACATAAGGCGGTCAGTTGTTCCGGGAAACGATGTAGATTTCTTGAAAGCACATTACGTATAAGCATTATATGATCCAAAAAATGGACATTTTGAGTTAGCCACACGCACTAGCCACTAGGCAAGGTATTATTCGCTTCAATAATTTTTTGAATCATGTTTTTTTCTGCAACTGAAACCTTGAAAAAAAATTTGAGCTAGCTAACCGCGAATAAAGCATTTGGAAAATCGTCAATAACTTTCCGTTTATCTATTTACGTTTGCAGAATTCAATCAAGTAGATAATAATCACAATAAATGCGTGTCGGTGATTAGCTTATGAAGCACAACCCGTACAGTTATCTCTCAATGATTCAGACTTTGCATCCATAGGCAAATTGTAGCGGGCCTGAGTTATCGAACAATACGAATTTTACTAAGAGGAATGAGAAAAGGAGCGATAGCTGTTCCTTGTACTTGTTTTGACGCACTGTGCAAACTTATCATTGTTCTTACCAGATAACTGGTAACAGCCAGATAGTTTCCATATCAAAACCTCTGAAGGAATGTGCAAAATATGCTGAACAAAATTCAATCATTAATGGTGGAGACGGAGAATATTTAAAGTAAATTCAAGACTTTTTGGTAGCAAAGCTGGAAAATAAATAGAAAAAATTTTTTTCTCAAATACGGTAGTGTATACTCAAGCATACTTAACGCCGCCCTTATAACAATCTTCCCTTACTATTACCCTAATTCCACGCGTATAAGCCGTCCCTTTTTCGGTTTTTCAAACGTGCCGCTCAGCCGCCTCGTCGTGTTTCGGAAAACGAGACTTATGCCTCACGACTCCCAGGCAATATACAGCGCTGTATATAGTTTTTTTGTTTATGAACTCCTTCGGAATGTCTTTGCTGGTCAATTCAAAAAAAAATCCCCCGCGGCTTATACTGAAATTAGGGTAGTAGATGTAGGTAAGAGAAAGAAGTTCAAGTCCAAAAAGCCTAAATTAAACTCAAGACTTTTGGTAGGACAAAGCTGCAAAATAAAGTAAAAAATCTTTTTTCCTAAATGCGGTAGGCGTATATTCAGTGCTGCACTTACAACAATCTTTCCTCTCTATTAGTAAGTCTAAGTAAGAGAAGACCTTGAGCGGTTCCAATTGTATGTCTTTTCGAAGCTATACGATACCGATCATCTATCTTTAAAATCGTTACATTCTGCAGGAGTTCGCCAAATTTTGCGTCGCATCGCCATTTTGCTCTAGAGTGGACGAGTTCTGAATCCAAAAAGATCATTCAACTCAGGGATCGACGAGTTGCATGTTCTAGTATATGGGAAAACCTGTTTAGGTACGGTAGTCCGCCAAATTTAACGGATTTTTCAGATTTTTGCTTAGGGTAGGTTACTCGTTGTGCAATCCATAAGCACTCTGAGTAACCTACCGTAAGCAAATATTTGGGAAAACTTGAGTAATTGGAGCGATTATCGTACCCAAGCAATTCTTCGATGCTGCTTTTGGATTCAGAAGACGTTCATCAACACACAGCAATGCGATGTGGCGGAGTGCGGTAATATTTTGAATAGTGCTTTGCAGCATCAAACTTTTATTACGCATACCTACTACTTCATAGCCCACTGTGCCGCAAAGTCATCAAAAATCAAACGCATATCCAAACAAGTATGAAGTCAATTGTAAACTTGCTGCGCACATTCTTGAGCACGATATCTTTGACATCGAGAAAAGAATAGTAGTTTAGATTTGCTTTGCAACAGTGAAAGCCGATAAACGAAGAAAAACTGTAAGTGGAATAATGGGAGCACTTGATTACTGCAAAATTATCCTAAGTCTTTTCATATGGCTTAACTTTCTTGGTCATGCTCATGCTAGCAAAATTATCAATCGTTCTGTAACTATGGACTCGAAACCGCTTTGCACACTTGCCAAAACATCTTGGTCATGTGGTCAACAATTTTGAATGTGTGATCCGTCCAACCTAAGACAATTTTCAACTTGGGAACAGGAAAGAATAAGTTCAGGCTTGTTTATACAATGTGTACAAAGCGGTTTCGAGTCTCTTGGTCATAGATTGAATGATTGATTGTGTAATGCTGACAAATTTATTGCTGGGTGTGTCTCGGGTTTAACTTGAAGTTGCTTGAGACTTTCTTTGGAAGAAGCTCCTTAGAGTAATCCGCAAGATCATCTCACGTGCGACATTCTTGGAGAATACGATTTGTTTTTTAGGTGAAAGGAAGGTTATTCGCGAAGCGCCAACCTTTGCCTACTAGTTTGCAATGCTACTACTCTTCCTCTTGCTGACGAGCATACCAGCTGGAAAACCATTTATAGGAGGCAAGTTGACATTTATTAACTTGTGTATGCGACGAGGGTAAAATAGAAAACACACTTGAAGCTTTTGTTTACAGTATGTAACAATAGGTTTTACGCCGAAGGAGAAAACTTGAAGAGGTTTCTATTATTTTTTTGCTTATGGATAAGTTGTCACCAAAAACCCGCAACATTGCTCTTGCACGAAAACACACTTAAATCTGTGGGATGCTCAGTTGCATGGAGAAATTACCTTACAAAGCATAAGAGATTCGGCTAACGACTACCTCTATAAATCAGTCGAGGTTTTTTTTTATGTGGCATTGACTACGGTCTATTTTATGCGCGTCCAATTTTTTTTAGAGAATCCGTTTTCCATAAACATCGCAGTACCGTTCGAAACCCTTGTCTCTTGCTTTTGGCGTAAGCTCCGGTTATCATAGAACCCAATTTAATTTGTAGTAACGTACCTAGAAAAGATAACAACTGTGAGATTCCTTCTTTCCGCTTTATTTGCCTAAAATTCACGAATAAGAGACGAGATTTTTCAAAAATCTGATTGTATTATTTGCTGGGAAGTTGTGGCTAAAAAATGTTCATCGCAATGTGCCGTTATAAAATTTTAAACTTGAAAATTCTCAACAAAAATATCCCTACAATACCGCTCACATTTTTTGAAAAAAAGACGCGAATGTATGGACATGTATGGACATGTCCGTACATGTCCATACATGTCCATACATTCGCGTCTTTTTTTCAAAAAATGTGAGCGGTATTGTACGTCGTCGTATTCATAGGTTTATTGATCACTAGTTAGCGACACATGCGAAAACATCCGATTTTTTTAGAAGAACTTAAGAAAATCGCAAAAAACGATGAAGTTGAACATTTGACTGGTCAAGCGCTTGTGGACGGGTGTATGCCAAGATGAACGATAGCTGGAAATAAGCATACTGTACTCGTGCGGTTGTCAATATGCCGCGCCTAAAGTCCTATTTTTTGAAGCGATATGTTCTTCACTGGGTTGAAAATGATGTCCAACAGTAAGAATAAGGCGGTACCGAGCTCCCAGCGTTTTTTCCAAAATTTTGAATATCATCAGAACGTAAATATAGAATCTAGAGAATCTTTGACCTACGCAACGCACATGGCTGGCACAATCTATCGTTCATGTTGGCTGCCCCCCCTTGTGGACTACATAAACTCACACCAAAACCTATACAAGGTGCCGTAAAAAGCTTTGAAAAAATTTTGATACCAATGCTTGCTGGACCTTTTTATAGATATCTTTCAGGCAAAATATAAACCGGGAATTGAAAAATTTGTCCGGTCACGTATAATGAGATCCAAGTACCTCGAGGACCCACTTGCAGCAGAGTTGATGGAGCGCAGAGAAATTGTTGGAGAAGACCCACTTCCTGAAAGGTGGGAGTATAAACCGATTTTTGATGCGTTCGGAGCGCGTGCGCACTTGAGTCTCATATCGACATGGTCATATCTGGGCTCCACTTGGTTTGGATATATTTTTTCCCTCTTTGTACTATGCACATCAGCGTAGTTAGTGAGATGCTCAGTACAAGAGTGAATTATGCAAATGGTATTTGTGTAATAAGCGTCATAAGTGATTTGAATTAATAGTCATCGCGATCTTCGAGCACTATGTATGAGTAGTTTTATACGATTTGTGGGTATCAATATATCGAACGAGTAGTCGTTTCTTATAAAGCAATACTTCTTCGATGGATTGAAAATGGTGTCATAAACTAGAAATTAGGGTTCACTGAGCTCCTTTTTTTCTCCAAGCTTTTTGGCTTTAATATAGCGTGAATATGATTTGAGAGACGTTAGACCTAACACGCATATGGCTGGCATAAATTATCGTTCATGTTGGCTGCCCCCCGGCAAGATGTCCATGCTAAGAGCCATTTCACAGGTAAAAAAAATCGGCAGATAGTACGCCAGTATCGAAATACCATGCATGTATAAAAAATTCTCCGGACTTTTCATAGCTTCGTTTGGTTTCGTAAACGTGGAGAAAATTCGAATTCGGCGAAGCCTTATTTAATGCAAGGCAAGTTACCATCGCAGCTCGCAGCTATTTGGCTGTTGGCAAAAGTTTTTAAACCATCGCAACATTCCTTTTCTCTATTTCTTTGTCACTGATGCTTTTTCCACAAGCGAAGGTAGTGGAACTCTGAGCGCTTAGATATCCTTGACCACCAGTGGCTCAGGCCCTTGGAATGTTTAACGGGTGGGAAACATTTAGAAAGTTTCAAGAGAGCTCAAATTTAACGTTATCTTGAGTTCCGTAATCATTCAGTGAACAACAAGTTACGCAGATTCCGCTCTAGTTGATAAATAAGATTTGCTGTTACTTTTTCCGAAATGACGGCGAATTACTTTATTGAAAATTCCTGATTGATATGTGAAAAGAGTATCGCGGCTTGTTTATGATCTTTTCTTTTCAGAGTTTCAGGCTTTGATTTTTTGCAAATTTTCAATAAAAAAAATCGAGTATACTGAACGCAATCAAAAGAACTTTGAACTAAAACCATTTCTACAGGCATCGATCAGCATGATTTTTCGCTAGAAAGAGGGAATTATGGAACCTTGATCCAATCTTATCGAGAGTTCAAACTTTTCACTTTTTTGAGGGGACCTTAAAAACAACAACTTTTTTCTTTATTAGCTCGTGGCGATATGACAGGGCTTATCTTTGCTTCGTGGAATGCACGTGATTTCTTTCTTTCAAAAGTTCCGTGCATATATAGCGAAACTGGCGAAGATTATGGTATAGCGTCTTGCAAGAATGATTGCAACTTATTAGTACACACCAGCTTCAACTGTATAAAGGCAATAAAGATTTACCTGCTCCGCTGCGAACTGTATTACAAGGCACGCAATGTAAAAATAATTTCCTACTGTGGAAAATAACAGAAAAAATAATAAAGAAAGACAGGAGAGAGCTGCGCTTCGCATATAAAGTTTACGTTTTCAGTTTCGATTCACGTGAGCACTGGCCAAAGTGCGCTGAAGTGATTGGTCACATTCGGGACCAGTCCAACTGTGGTGAGCATTTCCTTTTGCCAACATTCACGTCTTTGCCAAAAAACTTGTTGAGCTTTGAAAGTCAACGTTTCCAACTTCGTTACAGCATCATGTTGGGCCGTAGCAAACGTCGAAGTTATGTCAGATCGCTTATGTATCCAGTCTGATGCAAAATATAAAGTAAGTCTGGAACTGTCATCATTCGTACCTACTGTGAAACTTAATTTTTAACAATAAAGATTTTAAAGGCAGCGGGTCGGCATGACAGCTTTGGGTTATCCATCATTATTGGTTCTTCTGGGTGAGCTGAGGCCAAGACTATGCTTTGGAGCCTCAAAAGATATCAATAATCCGCTTTTCCAGACGTGAAAAGCGCTGAGGGCGGACGGCGTATGACTGCCCTCTAGAGCGCAGTTGGCTCGTGGGTACGGTGGATACAGTATCTCCACTCACGAGCCAATCGCGCTCTATAGGGCGGATACGCGGCCCGCCCTCGAGCGCTTTTTACGCCTGGAAAAGCGGGTTATTGATATCTTTTGAAGCTGCAAAACACAGTCTTGAATTCAGCTCATCCAGGAGAAGAGAACGATAAATATCGCGAAGCTGTCATTCTGCCGTGCCGCTGCCTTCAATGAACAGCTTTTTGCACAATTTTCTTCTTCATTTTGGAATCTTAAGCTAAGTGTTGCCCCGTCTTGCACTGAAGCGTTTGAAGATAAAACTATAGCGTGTAGAACTATAGCGCAGAGTTTGCTAGACATGTGCACTTTCAATTTGTGATGACCGCTGACAATGGGCCGAAATTGTGTAAATCTAGAAAATGTTTTCAGAAATACTCGCTACCAACAACTACAATACCGCTCCTGATCTGTGGAAAAAGAATCACCACACTTTGCCGGTGTTCGCCGAACTTCGCGTTGCATCGCCCTTGCTTCAGAGTGGTCGAATTCTGAAAGTACCATTTAACTCAGCTTGACGAAATGCATCTTCCAACATATAGAAGTGTCTGTTCGCGCAGGACAGTTGGTCAAATTTCAAAGACTTTCGAAATTTTTGCTTACGGTAGGTTTATGTTGTGCAATGACTGAACACTCTGAGCAACACTACGTTGAGCAAGGAAATCAGATCGACTTTAGTGCCCAAACAGGTACTATGTATAAAAGGATGCATCTCGTCGTGCTGAATTGAATGGCCCCTTTGGATTCAGAATATGTCCATTCTGAAGCAAGATATGGCGATGCAACGCGAAGTTCGGCAAATTAAGGCGAAATGCTGTGGTTTTACAAGTTAGGAGCGGTAGTGTATGCTAGAATGCTTATGTTTAGACGATTGTCGAAATACTCTTAAAATAACGTTGTTGGTTACTTCGCAGTAGGGGGGAGGGGAGGGATGTTTTAATGAATAGGAGTGGATTGTATGAAGATATCATGATATCATGATTATACTATTATTATAAACACAGAATCTTTTTCACTGCTTATCATCTTAAAAATAAACAAGCTCTTTGAGCTTCATTTCACGACTCAGTAATTATCCCTTAACTGAAAGCGGTAAGCTGAAACTATTGAGTGTTGTTTAGGTACACCTTCCGACACTGACTTGCTCGCATGTTGTGGATCATTCTGCGGCTTTGGGTGATATCTATTAACAATACTTATTTTCCCTTTAACCTTTTTGATCAGATGCGAGGGTGGTTATACTAACCGCGGCTGGCCCTACTTCAAGGCATCTGGGATTTGCACAGGAGGCCCATATGGTGATAAGGTTTTGAGTGAAGATAAAGGCAATGGATTGGCAAATTGGACCCTTCTCCCCTTTCGGGGGTGAGTGACTTCGTGAACGATAGCATGTGCCAGCCGCCAGCTGGGTACCGTACGCGACGCGCTGAACGCTCCGCCCCCTGGTGTGCTAGCGTAGGAATGCGTTACAGTCATCAGAAAAACTATCTAATATTTCATATGCTTCTTCTGTTTTTTGAATCAAGAATTTGCAAAATTTTGTATTAAACAAGAAATCAGATTTTCTCAACTATTATTTTGAACTAGTTCGCAAGCTCCTTTTCGATCTATTTCACTTTCTTGTTTTTAATAGGTAGTTCGTTTTAGTTATTTCATTGAGACTCTAATTGTAAGAAGAGTTTGCTTCCAAAAGTCTCCCAAAAAATGTTTTACTTTACGTGATTTACGTTTGTCACCAAATCTTATTTTCTTCCTTATACACGCAGTGATTTGGTTCCAAAAAGATCAACTCGTAGAATAGAAATTGGATTCTCTTTTTTGTCAAAAGAGTAAGCTTCAAGACTGCAATCATAGATGAAATCAGATTTCATTGCACCAGTTTCTAGAGAAAATCAAATTACGATTAAGCGATTTTCGCTTCATACACAGAATAATCTTGATGAATGGTGTAGATCATTACTTTTGGCAATTTCACAAAATCAAAAATCTGCTTGTGAACTTGGTTAAAGATGTGAAGTCACTCAGGCAGTCATGCCTGAGGGATTGTAGATTGGTTTCACACTCCAATATTGAATACTAGCTGGCTTACCCGGCTCCGCCGTATGTTCCGAATAGAAAATTCCATTTCTTAACCTATCCGAATCAAACTTGGCACACATACACTTCGGGCCCCGGCGGGTGTCACAGTCCACTTTTCGCTATCGATCGATGTCGATTTTATCGATTTTTTGCAAAATTTGAGCTAGGGGGCTGGAATTTGGCAGGGGGGTGTAACCGAGCATGCTGATCACTCCCACGGGGGTGATCAGCATGCTAATATTGTATTCGTAATCAGCCTGCTCGATTATCCCCTGTGCCAACTCCCAGCCCCGTAGTGAACTCTGCAAAATAATCGACAAAAATTGATGAAATCGATGACGAAAAGTAGCCTATGACACCCGCCGGGGCCCAAAGTGTATGTGTGCCAAGTTTGGTCCCGATCGGTTCAGAAATGGAATTTTCTATTCGGAACATACGTACAGACAGACATACAGACAGACATACAGACAGACAAACAGACAGACAGACAAACAGACATTCAGCTTTATATATAAGATCAATGGACAGACTCGGTCATTCATGCCTTGAAAAAGAAATACCCTTGAATCACGATCAGCACATCAATAGTTCATAACTGGCACAAAAGAAAAAAGAAATTAAAACAAGATTCTGTAAACAGTCAAGCTTTCCGAGCTCGCAACAAGCTTAGAATTCACTATCAGAAGCTGCTTTCAATTGACTAGTCAACAAGGCCATGAACCAGTAAGCTATACCGTCGAGAACTCGTCCATCTAGCGATAGGCCGGGCTAACGGCACGCACCTTATTGACTGCTTGTCTAAGCGCGCGCTATCGTTCATAAAGTCCGCCACCCCAATTTTGGTGGTGTTAGGTATAGTCGATTCGTTGACCGCATGGACTGAACTTCACTACGGAGCACGCGCCGCTTGCCCTAGTACAATTCCGCCGTTGTACAAGTCATGTTCTAGCGATAATTTAGCCTCGCCGGGCGTTGTCCGCAGCGTTTAAGCAGTCCGTGCGGTCAACGAATTTACGATAATAGACTCCCCAAGTACACTGAAGGGTCCATTCTGCCGATACCTTTGGTCAGCTTAATCCCAGAAATATGGTATAATATAATTTAGAAATCCTGCAAACCATATGCATTCTACCCGTGTGGTAAACATGAAAATCAGACTTATTATGGACCATGTCCCTACTACAATTGGGTAACACCGACATGCCGCAATATGTGTCAACTCAAATCTCGCAAGAATTATGAAAGTGACAAGTTTTGGGGTATGTTTTTAACTACAACGTATTTGATTCATTACACAAATGTATGTGATAATCTTCACTATCAAAGTAGCCATTCTACGCTAGTTGCACCGTTATTGCTCTACAGTCAAACGCGCCGAAGGGATCCGCGCCATGAGGCGCGTTCACTAAGGAGATAGTAGCAAGGGAAGGAAATAGTAGACGCGAAGTGAAGCACCCATAACTGCTTTTTAGAACTGGGTGTGGCTTGTGCCCCTGAAATCAGGGGGGCTGTCACAAACACAAGACTTAATTTATCTATTTACTCCTAACGTTTATGTGCCGCTTTGGAAGAGATTGAAACGTAGGATGTTTCCATTATGACTGATTAGCTGCAATTCGGGTTCCTTCTTCCTGTGCCAGGTTTAGAAATGCGGACCAGAGTGCAACAGTTTACATTGTGGAAGCAACAGGTGATTACAGCAATCACTGAATATCTTCGTAGATAATCTACTTTGACAGAAGTATTGAATTGGCTGATCCAAATCGTTAGTGATAGAAATGGTTGTTTACTGCATTTTCTCTGAGAAGTAAAGAAGAAATCAATAAATATCCGTAAATGATCAAAGTTAGTCTGCATAAATTCTTTATTATAGGTATATATCCGCAACAAGTTGGATTTGCGCGTATTATGTTTCTAATTCAACCTGCTTTTTCCTTTTTGAAAATATGATAAAATCTTGGAAAGTGCTGTGTAAAAAAGCGGTTCTGTGCTCCACTTGCGAGGTAGGGTGGAGATGGGAGGAGCCACTTGCTTCAATGCTTTTACTTTCGTCAACTGTATTTTACCCTACAAATTCGCACCTTGATATTTGAGCTGCGCCTTCAATACTTGATGTACATTATCACAAGAACTTCTTCACCTCATTCTTTATCCTAACCATTGTCTTGCGGGACAGAGTTGGTTGCATTTTTGTTTCCATTCGACTCGATCAGCTGCTTTGTTGTGTGAAGTTCATTATGTGCAGCTCGCTTCAAATGATGTCCAACTAGCGTTGCTTCGGCCGGCCGTGCTGACTTTCCCCTATAAATCTAAATATAATAAAGCGCGTGTCTGTCTGTCTGTGTGTGTGTTTATGTTTGTCCGTTACGAAATTCATAGAGCGTTTTGTAGGCAAGGTCTTGAGCTGAAATTTTGATCATGGCACCCTATCAGCATGTAGGTAAAAAGTGCAAAAGCACAAGCTGATCCGATATTTGGGACCTTTAAAAACTGCGCGTCAAACTGGCCCACGTGGCTTTTGGCACGCAGGAAACAGCGCCAGGAAGTGGTGATCGCTTAGATAGTCGATTTGGCAAGGTTTTACCTTGAGATATGAGAAGATTTTTGCACGGAAATTTAGCTCAAAGTGATTACTATCCTTATGACGATTACCAAGCCAAAACACATTCAGTAATCTATTCAAATTCGCATGTGTTCCTCTGCGACAAGTTTTTTTCTCTCAAAATTACCGATCTTACGTGGAGATTCTTCAAGAATGATCAGTTGTTTATTATTCATTTGTGATGTTCAACATTGCACGGTGGGTTTCAAAGTCATCATTATGCGAACATGAGAGAGGCAAACGTATAGGAGAGCCAGTGCGACCACCGCAAAGCGGAGGTGACGCACTGGTAAATCTAAATGAAGTGCCGTTTTTGCCACGTATTATCTTCACTTCGTAAATATGACCGTACCATGGCAATCTGCACCTCGCATTTTGACCGCGATAGAACGACTTCAAAAATGTGCGGCACATCGGTGTTGATGACGCAGTTTCTGCGTGGTAGGCTCACTCCATCTTATCATTCCAGTCTTCATCGTGCTTTTGTTTGCTCGTATTTTATAGTCTCGCCAACATCCTGCCCGTACAGGGCGACTGGCCGTATCACAATCCGATAAAGTGTTGACTTAAGCTGTACTGCATTTCGGCGGTCGCAGACTTCAGCCACACCGCGATCTTCCTTGCACGAGCATAAGTGTGCAATCTGACACTCACTTGAGCCCACATATTTGGCCGTGGAAGGACGATGTCGTGCAAGGTATTTGGCTCATCGATGTTGATTGTGCCGTTGGTTTGCTGTCCGCATTCCAGGCACTCTGTCTTCCACGTTCAGTCGCAAGCCATATTCAGCTAATCGCGTTCTTCTATCTCACGGTTGCCTCTCCACGGTCCTGCTTAGATCCACCTGACTCGAAGTCATCCGCGCAGAGAAACGTCTACGGGTGCGGCAGTTGAATGTCCCTCTTCATCGTAACTATGATGAAGTGCAGCATTGATGAAGCCGATCCTTGATGTACTCTAACCTAGATTGGAAGCGGCGTTGACCTTCCCACTGCATAGCGTACGGCTCCTGTTGTGTTTGCGCAAAGAAGTTTGATCCAGCGTACATACTCTTTTGGGACTTCTGTTATCTCATGCATACCAATCAATCCGTATGGTAATCGACCAAATGTTTCCTAAATTTAGGAATGCAAAGTTAAATCCACTTTCTCAAATGGCGCTCCATTAGTAGCATTACGGCATCACGACGTTGTGTACCTGATTTTACAAAACCGCATTGATTAGAGACTTCTGAGGAATTTCGGATGCGTGTGTTGATGACTCGCTCGAAAATTTTTATTGTGTGGCAGAGTAAGCGTATTGGTCAATATGCAGATATTGTGACACTCGTAGACCACACTGGTATTTCGTCGATGATGAAGCAGTTTGAGAGTGATGTAAGAAAAGCCATCCCGCGTTGCCCCATCATCTTTCATACTTCAATAAGAATGTGGTCAGGTTCTGGGCTTTACCGCTGGCCATCTTTTTTAGTGCCAGCACAATTTCTGTCTCCTCGATCCGAAGTACCGGTCCTGACATACGCGTTTCTTGCAGTACTGGCAGGTGCGGGAACTTCACATTGCCTAGAGCTTCGTAGTATTAGGTCCGTTTGAGTGTTGCCCTCGGCTTCGTCAAAAGGTTAATCTCTGCGTCTCGGATGTGCATGACGTGGTCGATGTCTTGCTTGGCTCGATGGCGGTCAGCGGCTTATTGGTAGTTTTTTATTGACGCCATAAAACTCTTCCAGTTCTTCGTAAAGCTTCTTGTAGGGTATCGTCGTCTCCCCGCGATAGATGGGGCGTGTCGTCTGCAAAGTCCGTAAACGTGCGTATTTCGTACGGTATTAGCCATGGTGTGGCATGTATATACATGCCACGTCTAAATACTTGTTAAATCTTCATCATATAACATTAGTTTTCGTACTCTCTAACTGCCAAAAACTGCCACGCGCAAAGGTTGGCAACGTTGGCAAAGCCACGCTGGCTAGCACTGTACGAAACACGCACATCTACGGACTTTGCAGACGACACGCCCCATCTATCGCGGGGAGACGACGATACCTTTTTTGCCTTGCTTACTGCACGCTTCGCTCTCGAGTTCAGTCCTCGATATCGACGGAATATGCTTGCCTCTTCTAGATAGCTTGCTAAACTGACTTTGACCAACACCATATATGCTTGCCAACGAACCGGCGCCCTTGTTGGGTTTCCTCAGCCCTCGATCGGATTTGCAGATGATCCGATTCCACTGGTCTTCAATCGATTCCTTATCATCAGGATACAAAGCGTTGAGAGCTACAATGACATGCCGGCGACTGTCACAGCTTCCACGACTTGATCCTCTTTTTTATCGTATTCCTGATTGTGGATGCAACTGGATGTTTAGTCGAAGATCCAACACGAGCAATTAGTCAATCTGAGTTGAGCAGTCTACACTTGCGTCAACGATCAAACGCGATTTCCGCTTTCTGAGAAATCTGTACGCGACAGCTTAGCCATGTGCTTCGGCACCTTCTAAAATGCGCCTTCTGTCCTCCTTCTTTGACTATATCCATTTCCACCGTGGTATCGCTTGAATCCGTCATGTGCATGGTCTAAGTGTCTGTTAAGATCGCCGCTTACGAAGATGTATCTACAGCGGCGAATACTCTTAGTAAAATGTCGAAGCCTCTATAAAACATGTCCTTCTCAGCTTCGTCGCATTCTGGTTGCAAGTCATAACACGACACTACTCGAAGTGTGACGTATTCCGCTTCAATCTCAATCGCCATCAGTTTGTCTAAAATACGCGTCACTTCAGTCACTAACTTGCGATATTTATCTGGCAATGATCGCAACTCCATTCTGGCGGACGCTGTTTTCGGTCAGTGAAAGCGGTATACCTCGCTGATGTCCTTAGCCTGCCTTCTCTTCTTCATCCCTTCTACACGATGCGATGTCGATGTGTGGTTCCTTCAGTCTACTGCATCTTTGACTGCGACTCGACAGCGTTCCTTTATTGATCGTCACCAGCTGAACTTCGTGGACTTCTTTGGCTTTCCTCGTTCTGGGGCAGGTAGCCCTAGCTTGCTATTTCCGCCATGCGGGCAAATCCTTGGCAGTCCTGTGCATGTGACAATACTGCACAGGGTCTCCGGCGCGTCGCTCCGATCATCACGTATTATTCCGAGCACTTGCAGCAATAAAAATACATTTTCAGCCATTATTGAAAATTCCTTGGAGAATTCCTCTAATAAAAAAAATAAAACATTCGATCTTTGTTAACGAAGTAAGTTCCATTGCGAAATAGTATTTATTACAATCTGGTTTCATGTTTTTCAGGAGGAGAGGCGTATGTCGTCAGCGGGAACGAGACCGCAATTAGAAGAGAGATAATGACCAAAGGACCCGTACTTGTTACCTTCTACGTGTTTGAAGACTTTATGTACTATTCAGGAGGAATCTATGAAGTATGCCATTGTGATACTTCGTTAGATACTATTCCTCAATTTCAGCATTACTATGGTTATGATGATCAAGGAGCGCATGCCGTAAAAATTATTGGGTGGGGAGTGGAGAAGGGAACAAAGTACTGGCTGGTGGCAAACTCATGGAATGTCGACTGGGGAGAAAAAGGTGCTTGCACAGTCTTAGAAGGGTTGCAATAGAGTCTCACAATTAAGGTTTCTTCCGTATAATACGCGGTCAGAACGAGTGCGGAATCGAAGCGGGTGTTATTGGCGGAAGTGTCGACCTCAGTAAAATCCATTGAATGTGATCTTATCCTCCAATATATGTACTAGTAACCCTTCTGGTCGCTATAAGTGGGTTGGGGTAAGAATTAGCAAGTGCTTAGCTAAGATCGTGAATCTACACTACGTTTTCATTCTTTGTATAGAAAAGTTTGTGCATGAATTTTCAGCTTTGAAGATATATATAAAATTAACGAAGATTTCTGTATTTGTGTATTTCTGTAAGATTTTCTGTAAAAAAAAGTGGAGAGTACGAAAAGTTGCTACAGCTCGTTCTTGTTTAGTTAAATGACCAGCAAGCACTTCTTAAAGGGTCTCCAAAAAGTTCCAAATTTGTACGACCAACGAGATCACTGTTTCATAGCAAGGCCTTATTTTCGGGACAAAAGCGCATTTTCTGCACTAGAAGTACTTCCTAATTTGAAATCATCACAAAGTCTTCAAAAAACGATTTTTTTGAATACTCAGCCTCAAGGGGTTCCGATTATACTACCAGCGAGACCACAGTTTGCTTGCAGAGCTTCCTCTTTAGAAAAAAGTGCAACTCCTGCAGTAAAAATGCTCCCCAGTTTGAGTTTTCATAGAATTCCCATGGAAAAGAATCTTTTGTGAACAAAGAATTTTGTTTTGAATACTTAGCTTTAGAAAGTTTCGATTACACTACCCGCGAAACCACAGCTTGCTTGCAGAGTTCTCTATCCAAAAAGCAGCGCATTTTCTGTAGTGAATGCTTCCTAATTCGGGATCATTACAAAATCTTCGTAAAAAAACAATTTTCCAATACTCAGGTTCAAAGGGTTCCGTTTCATCACCAACGAGACCACATTTTGCTTGGAAAGTTTTTTTTTTTGAAAAAAGTGCATTTTCTGTAGTGAATGTTTCCTAATTCGGGATCATTACAAAATCTTCGTAAAAAAACAATTTTCCAATACTCAGGTTCAAAGGGTTCCGTTTCATCACCAACGAGACCACATTTTGCTTGGAAAGTTTTTTTTTGAAAAAAGTGCATTTTCTGTAGTGAATGTTTCCTAATTCGGGATCATTACAAAATCTTCGTAAAAAAACAATTTTCCAATACTCAGGTTCAAAGGGTTCCTTTACATCACCAACGAGACCACATTTTGCTTGGAAAGTTTTTTTTTGAAAAAAGTGCATTTTCTGTAGTATAAATGCTTCCTAATTCGAGATCATCACAAATTCTTCATAAAAAACAATTTTTTCAGTGTTCAGCCTCAAGGGGTTCCGGTTATACTACCAGCGAGACCACAGCTTGCTTGCAGAGTTCTCTACCCAAAAAACAGCGCATTTTCTGTAGTATGAATGCTTCCTAATTCGAGATCATCAAAATCTTCATAGAAGAGAGTTTTGAACACTTGTCTTCAAAAAACTCCGATTATACTACCTGCGAAACCACAGTTTGCTTTTTTTGAAGTTTTTTAGAAAGTGCTTTTTTGCAGTAAAAACGCTTCCTAATTTGGATTATCACAAGATCTTCAAAAAAAAAAAAGAACTTTTCTTTGAATACTTACAAGGGAATGGTCAGAAGTCGAATTGGCCAACAAGCTGCATACCATTCGATGCAGCATAGAACGCTGAATTCAAATCTGCCTTCCTTATCTGCAGAGCGCCTTTGTAGGCGAAATTAAGAGCAGCTCTACTGCGAAAAAACTGTATGCAAAAATTGCGAAATTAGGCACATTATTGCTCTTTCAGCTCACATCTAGGTACGGGTCGTACGAACTGACCTACTTGCATGTTTTGGTCCAATCCAACACTGAGCCGAGAATGGCTTTGTACGGCCAAGTTTGCATTTTACATGCAGAATTTCTTAGAAAAATGATGGCCTTCAACTGCTTATAATTTCGTCCACAAAAGCGCTCTGCAGATAAGGAAGACAGATTTAGAGTCAGCATTTTATACTGCATTCAATGGTATGCAACTTCTATGGATTGGGCACTTCGACTTCTGACCACTCCCTTGTTAGCTTCAAAGTATCATTATACAAGCGGCGGCACTTCCTTATGGGCCGAGACCCAGCTTTTTACTTAAGCTACGCTGATATTGGGCAAACCTATCGTATGACAGCGGGTACTACGACAGGTGCACGTTGATAAACATGAGTTCAAGATACCCCGATATTAGTAGAAAGTCGACTCTGAAAAACAATCCTAGTCTCAATGCTGTAAAGTTTACAATGCATGCAAGGTAGATGGTTATTTGGAATGCCGCATTCAGATAAAACTAAGTTCTTCTCCAGGATGATATACGAACCGTAAATTAGTTACAGAAATTGAAATTGCTTTTTATGTAATAAACGTGCCACAAAACCGAATGCAAATGTTTGAGGTGAATATGTGCGCCTTTCGGGTGAAGGACATTAGGTCGCCGAATTTGGAAGAGTCCCGAGCGGATTCCCTGCAGGAAAGCATGTCCGCGTGTGTGCAAGGGTGCGTATTTGTCGCAAATGACCGCGAGGACCGCCCTCTTTCGGCGACCTTATGTCCTACACCCGCGCTTTTCCTCAAGCATCAATTGCATCACACCCCATATAAAGTGTGACAACGAATGAGACTGCGAACTATATATAAAGAGGGGAATCCATTAGAAAAACTGGAGGAAGAAAGTTGTATTATTTCTATCAGGAATTTTTAGAACAATGATAGTTGATAGACAAATGGACAGTTGATACCAAACAGCCTTGGAAGAATCGTTAAGCTAACTGCAATGCCCATAGTGGCTACCATAATAAAAAAAAATGTGACTCGCCCGAAAAATGAATAAACATGTTGACTTGAAGAGGAGCAGCGGTGCGGGGTGGGGGGGGGGACCCCATATGGATGTTTTTCTCTGCTGTTCCTCCGCGGCACAGTCTCTAGTTTTCCTCTAGCCTTTTTGAAGTCTCTGCGGGCTCCAGTAACGCACTTACGTTCCATTTTTTGGTTGCACTTTTCCTTATCGTTAGACATACTGCAAGGATTTTCCTCCGTCTACTAGCCTTTGTCTTATAATCAATACTGATCCGAGTGCGATGTGCTAATTGAACTGCAGGAAATTATTTCCTCGAAGAATGAAATCATGGAGGAATTCCTGTTATTTTGCCTCAAGCCACAAAGGAACTTAGGCCGACTTTTTTTAAAAGTTTTGTGATCATTCGGAGCACTGTGGGTGCTCCATTTCTATCTTTAAACCCAAACGTTTTCGTGACCCACATATTTTTTTCGTTTTCAACATGAAAGGAAATGAGAACTATCCTCGTTGACCGCATCTGCTTGAAACAGCATAGGATTTATTGCCGTCGAAGGACTAATCATAGATTACGATAAACTAGCAGCAGCATTTTTCACATAATAAAAAGGTTCGATTAATAGCACAAAAAGGATTAGACTGGTGCAAAAGTAATGCGCGTTTTTCTAGCCCTTACTTTAGGACAAATTTTCTCCATCAAATTGTCTTCTTTGAAAAGAACTTAGCACGCTTTCAAGAAGTTCCTTTCATCCTCTATCCCATGGCGGTTGAAACGGGCTTCTAGCATCATTAGTTAAGAAATAATAGGGCTTCACACAACCGCCCTCGAAACCATAATTTCATTGCATCTACTTTTCTGGCCAGAAATCAAGCCCGAATAAAAGCAAACTTTTGAAACTCTAGCTGCGGTATTCAATGGAAAATATCTACATTATGCACATTTTACTGTTTTTTCAGACATTACCTAGACTGAGATTTAGGCGCTCCAACATGAGTAGCCGTTTTGATCAGTCTGTGTCCCATAAATTTCCTTTGAAGAGGGCACTCGCCACTCGCCTTCACTCATTTGTGTAAGAGTAAGAGCGGGCCTCCTGCCGATAGTTTTTACAGAAATGTGTAGCTGTTCATTGCGCAAAAAATTAACAAAACTCCATATTTTGGGATTATTAGCCTGCGAAAAAATGTTCAAAAAAGCGAACAACTTAGAATTTTAATTTTTTTCTTTCTGTAAACCTTGTCTCCTAGGCTTCTCCAGCTTTATTTGTAGTGTTACGGCTACAAGGTAGGCTACTTATCATTTACATTAACAAATTTTGAAGGGAGTTATGACCAGCTGAAAACGAGGTTTTAGAAAAACCTTTTTTGCTTATTAATCCATATTTTTCTGCCCTTTGGTAATATGAGTATAAAGAGATGTGCGCTGTAATGCGAAAGGTTTGATGCTTCTAATGTTTTTTACCGCGTTGAAAAATATAGATATTTTAGAAAGTTCTAGCACGAAGCGAAGTGAGGACTTGCAAAACGCGCATTACTTTTGCACCAATCTAATGTTTTTCTTGTTTTGAAATATCATCATTTCATAGCTTTGCGACATCCCTGTTGAACAACAACAACAACAGTGTTCAATCTAATCCGAAAATTGAAAATGCTTTCAAATTCTCTTTGGAAAGTGTAGATGTTGCCTAAACATATACGGTAAACTTCAGTGCATGCGCATGGCCGGGACAATTTCTTCAATCTCCGCCAATTTGCAACAAAGAACTTTCTTGCATAGTTAAATTCCTATCACCAATAGGCGCATGTTCAGATTATAATGTTCTGTACCTCTACATGATTTAACACGTTTCGGACCGCGAAATCGCGCGCGGTGAAAAAGAGGGTACTTTCAGCCGTTGGCCAACAAACGGACCTTATTTCTCAGACTGTGTGCACATCTGTAATCAGCATGTCAGATAAGATCGGTATCCAAAGTTCTGAATGAATTCGAAGTACTTGAATTTTGTCGCTTGAGAAGGACTTCTATGCTTTCTTGAAAGATAGAAAGAAGAACTCAGTTTCTAATTCTGTCCAAAAGTATCTATTTTGTACACGATACACATCATTCTTGAAACTACGGTTTTTCTCTTTGAAATCGAAGGAAAGGAAAGTTGCGACGTCGCACGCGCCATTCGCGTTGCGCACTTCGTTTCAACTGTTGTCCGATTTGTCCTCATATCTCCTAAACGAATATCGGCCGCATAGTTCTACAGAGTTCTTGAAAAGTAGGGGAATAGGCCTTCGCCAATAACCTTGGACAAAAAGAAAACCTCCTGTAAACGTTGTAAACATCCTTCAATGCCGCGTGCTGCACCATGTGCAGCACCGGTCCGAAACTTGTTAAACGGGTTAAGTGGTGACTACGACAGAGGATGGTTTTTATTTTGACCCGTGTCATACGGTTGGGTTACAGTAGTCATAGAAGATGAACT